ATATTTCAATACATTTTATTTCATGATTGAGATATTTCAATGTCATTGTGAAAATGTAATATTTCAATTATTATTATTATTTATGTGTTATTTATAATGTTATTATCTGTCATATTTATGTTATCACGCACAAGTCACTTCTGTGACTTTTGTGATATTGTCTGTTTGTTCAACTAAATTCTCTATCAAATGTATATAATGATATATCTGTGAATAAACATTATTATTATTATTATTATATTATTAGCCCAGTCAGAGAGAAAATAAACCTATTTTAGGACAAAATTTTTACATTGATTTTTCTTCATTTATACCATATTAGTGTGGTATGTTCTTGAAATTTTCATAGTAAAAACACCACATTTCCAGTTGAAATTCTTCGATCGCTGATGAATTGTCAAAATATCATCTCCAGCTTTGTTCTTCTGAAAACGGTTTTGAAATCATGTCATAACTAAAAGTTCTTGAGTAGTAATTGGAAATTTGTTAGTTTCGACACATTCCTCCTACCGCCTAGTTATTTCAAGTATCGATTGAATTATCCATGTTTGAAATATGTATATCTGGCGCTCCTTCGAACATACGTTAGACATTTCGTGGTTTACGTTCGATCGGTCCTGAATATCAACTTCTTTACATAAAAATTGAAATTTAGACTCAATATAGGTGATGACTAGTTAGCAATGAGATCATATCTTGAAATGTGTTTATTTTCCGTCATTATACCTGCCATTTATAAGACTGAACACAAAACACTAATCCCACTGTATCCAACAAGTAGGTAGATACTTGACACCACATTGAGAAATTCAATGAGTGGTTAATGACGGTTGTTTTGATAGATATGCGAAAAGTGATTATATGTTTTGGAAAACAATTCTTGTTCAACAGTCAAATCACTAGTTGACTTTCCGTATCATACGTGAAGGAATCGAACGTTGAAAAGCAAGCTCTGGTTAATCTTCAGCTAGCATATAGGGGGTGAACAGATGGTTAACGGAAACCTAATTTCAACCCGTATAGAAAGCCGTTTTACTTTTCATTGCATCAAAAAGTGATAAGATTAAAATAATTCGTAACTCATCACTGGTACTATATGTGCCGAAAGATTAATTAGAAGTCAGAGATATAAAATGTCAGTTTTTGGCATTATTCTCGTCAATGATAAGTGTTATCTTGAAAATAGTTCAGATAAGAGTTGTAGATTATGTGATGATCTACTAAACATTTTTCTTATGAGTCGTATTTTACAGAATACGCACGGCATTATGGTGCCACTAGAAAAAAATTTAAAAATGTTTTTAATGTATTTTTCATTAGGATGTACAGTTGTGATTTCAACATTCATTTCATTATCAAAAAATATACTTTCAACCCGTAACCATTCTTTCCATTTGTGATGCACTGTTTGGAACCTTTGGTGTAGTAATGAATATCACTGCAGTTTTTTCCCAAGACCAAACCATTATTTTAACACCTTAACACGTGTTTCGATCACCAAGATATGTAAGAAATTAGTTAGATAATTTAACACCTCAACACGTGTTTCGATCACCAAGTTTGATCTTCCTCTTGAAGATGATCACTTGGGGATTGAAACACGTGTCAAGGTGTCAAAATAACGGTTTGTTGTTGGGAAAAACTCCAGTAATAATAATTCTTTCCATAACAATCATGTTAGCGACTTTTTCAGTTGTTTGTTATATTATGGGACTTCGTCAGATTACATGCAAATACTTCAAATTTATTCATATGTGGGTAAGGATTCAAGAAAGAAGAAGTTAGGCAAAAAAAATTTCTTACATCCTATTCACATGTCCCAACTTCGAACTGTACCGGCCCGATTTCTTAGATCATTTGCTTTCCTCGAATAATTCGTTGCCAACTAATATAACAGTCCTTATAGGAACATTAAATGATTGTGAGGTGGCGCTCCATCTTGTTGAAAATAGATATCAACTTGGTTAGCCAGTGGCAAATCTTCAATGAAATCATTAATTTGATTTCTAAGGAATTGTAAATATCTTTCCGCAGTCAGTTGTCCGTTGAAAATTATTGGCCCCGAAAGTTTTCCTCCGATAATACCCATCCAGCAATTGAAACCAAATCGATCTTGAAAATTTCCTTCTTGCATCAGATGTAAATTTGTTTGAGACCAGTTCCTTTTATTATTCCTATTGAACATACCCAAGTTGGTGAATCGGGTTTCATCTGAATAAATAATTTTAAATGGAAAACGTACACCTTCTCTGTATTTAGTCAAAAACCAGTTGCAATAAGTCAATCTTTGGTTGTGATCGTTATCGTAAAGATGTTGGTGTAGTTGGTTCTTGAATGATCGATAATTATATTTGTGAAGAATTTTACAAATGAATGAATAACTTATACCACACTCAGAAACATTTTGGCGAATTGACGCCATACACTTCAACATAGGCCAACACTTCTACTTCTTTTTCTTCACTGACGATGAAGTTATTGCCATTTTCTTCTGGTTCATTTCGCATTTTTCTTTCCAGTTTTAGAAAATAATGTCGCGTGGGATGGCGACGATTAGGGAACCTCTCAGCATGAATTCGAGCTGCATCAGTTAGTTGCATTATTTTTTGTTGCTCTGTAAATTAGCAACATTTCAATTTTCTCGTTTCTAGTATAATTTGTCATATCTAAAAATAAACTACACAACAGCATATTCAATAGCCTATTTGTTTAGGTAGTCCTAGCAACAGCTTAAGTTGTTTGTCACCGATAACTAAAATAACAGGACTTAGTGCATAAGTATACCGAATACGTATTATTTGTTATTAGGTATGATCGTAACTCACAATTATTCAGAAAAATAGAGAAAATGAAGTGAAAGTGTGTGGCATGAAATTATTCTTAAGAAAATGATCTTTCACAAAAAGTCAACGAGTCACCCCCTTTCCATTTGAAAAAATTAAGTTAACTGGAAAAATTCATAGTTGCGACTGTGAAATAATTCTTAAAACGACTGTGAAGTCATAAGCCTCATAGTCGAAGTTTTCCCATGTTACTTGATCAATAATGAAGCGATTTACACGATACGTGGCATTCTAGATCAAAAAATAAAAATTAGAATGAAAAAGATTTTATTTTTCAAAAATTGACAAGTGAAGTATTGTTGGATTTAGAATGTCATTCTCTATCGAAATAAGTAAAAATATTTAGGATGTCCCATTTAAAAATCGAAAGTTGGGGTCATTTCCGGTCAAACCGGAAGTACGGCAAAGCAAGTAAATATGCCAAAAAATGTAAATTGAACTATATATAATACACAACCCCCAAATTATCTTCAAGAGAATCACCCGGTATTCAAAGAACGGTGTTAACTCATCAAATATAAGAATGAGGGAAACATATTTCAATATGTTTTTTCAAATAATTGAAAAATCAATCTATATCCATAATATATTACTTTGTTTCAAAAGTTTTGTCCGTTTCAATGTCATGTGTTTTTGCAGCTACATATCCTAATACTTATTTATTCTACTGTGTGGTGGTATATACTGATCGATAGGTAATTTTGTACTCTATAATTGTATACTGTAATATTTCTTTTTGCAATAAAATAATTTTCGATTTACCAAAACGAGCAATAAATCGTTACATTTCGTCTTTACCAAAACAATGGGTTCTTTTAATGGAAAAAAATATACATTTACTGGAAGAAGTCTTTTGCACATGAAACGACTAAATAAATATCAAATTGCTGGTTCAAACAGATAATAAAACATCATAAAATAGAAATAAAAAAAGTATTATCGAAAATCATAAAGTTACAGGTCATCAACATTTGCCATTCTACGCAAGATTTGCAGTACATTTCTGCATGGTCCAGACATACGAATTTATTGTATTTGTTACAAATGTATTTTGTATTTCGATCACGGGCACGATAGCAATCTCGACACCTTCCTTGGTCATTTTGTTTAAGTCTTTTGAATGGAGGTTTCACAGTTTCACCTCTGATCTTCGAAATCTGGATAGTTACTAACGATGCTAACATTATCGCTCGTTACGTCACCATCAGATTCGTCAATTTCATCATCACTTTCAATTTCATCCCGTAAGGACTGAAGACGGGCCATTTCTCGCTCATAATCACCTATAATTATTAATTAAAAGCTTTTATTTGACTTGTATGTATGTTAACAAATCTTGCAAGTTTAATTTGACCCACTTCCCGGTATCCGATTGACCTGATATTTTGCATGCTGGTCCAGAACCGATGACAATGCATGTTAATTATAAACGTGACCTGATGCTGCTGCCAGGATCGGCTCCGTACGAGAGATCTCCTCAGCTGTAAATAGCAGGGACACGAAATTTTGTATACGCATTCGTTTATGATAGGCAGTTGGTAGGCCCACCATGAAATAGATGCCACATCCAGGGTTGGCTTCAATAAAAAAACATACGATCAATACGAAAATCCATCAATAAAACGGAGAGTCCTTCAACAGAAAAACTTAAGGAACGGAGAAAACTACTATTAGGATAAACTATATTCTATAGAAGTAAGTAGGTACCTACTCCTCCGGCATACCTTATAGAAGAATTAGCTTGTTATATTTCTCAGTCTATCAATTTAATTAATGGCGTCATTATTACATGGCCGAGTCCCAGTTAATTTCTATTGATGTGACCCTACTTAAAGCCACGTATGCTTGGCCGGCAGCGAACAACTTTGAACCCAAGTATACAACAGCGTGGTCAATCGTACTACCCTGCATTTTGTGAACTGTACAAGCCCAGCATAAAACAATTGGCAACATTCTACGTTCAGCTGTACCATGGATGAATTTAGCTGGAAATTGCACAGATTTCGGTTGAATAACGTGGATCCCATCTTTGCCGAAGTCGAAACGGACTGATGGAATTTCCGTGTCATACATTTGTACTCTCCGGAAACAGGGCCATATAATTTCTATTATATGATATCATTATATAATTGCATCTCCAACTCATCCTCCAAGTTTTTTTGCTCAGCTTCTTCATTCAACACTTCAAAAGCATGTTGCCAATTGTTTTATGTTGGGCTTGTACAGTTCACAAAATGTAGGGTAGTACGGTTGACCCCGCTGTTGTATACTTGGGTTCAAAGTTGTTCGCTGCCGGCCAAGCGTACCTACGTGGCTTTAAGTATGGTCACATCAATAGAAGGCCTCCCGATAGAAGAATTAGACTGCTCGAAATTAACTGGGACTCGGCCATATAATAATGACGCCATCAATGAAATGAATAGACTAAGAAATATAACAAGCTAATTCTTCTATAAGGTATGCCGGAGGAGTAGGTACCTACTTACTTCTGTAGAATATAGTTTATCCTAATAGTAGTTTTCCCCGTTCCT